AGTAGAGTGCGGGCCTCATATACCGAGGGTGGTGGGTTCAAACCCGGCCCAGCCAAACTGTAGCAAAAAAAAGCCGGGTGTTGTGGCAGGCCTAAGCCCAAAAGCTGGAGGTTGCTGTAAGCTGTGACGCCATGGCACTCTACCGAGGATGACAAAATGAGACTCTGTCTCTAAAAAAAAATGAAAATGAAAATTGTACACACCTTAGGTCCATGATTCCAAATTACAGAATCACATAATTTGTATAGCAATTTGTGTAGCGCACAAATTGTTCAGCTTGAATCGGAAAAAGGCAAGGAATAATTGTCAGAGTCCCCTGGCTGCATCTGCTATTATAGCAGTGGTTCTCCAATTTATCTGCATATTAAACTCACTGGGGGATTCTTTTAAAAATTCCAAAGCTCAGGACTTACTTCAGAACAATTAAATCATGATCTCCAGGAATTAGATACAAGCAAATTTGTTGATGCTCCTGGTAGGAATTCATTGTCAGGTAAGTGTGAGAACCCTAAATTATTTTGCTTGAAATTAAAGTTTACAGAGCATGAAACCCATTTTAACACATATCAAATACAGCTGACCTTTGAGGTATTCACCACTATACCATTGTATTACACTAATTTGCAAAGCAAGTCCATTCAGGTTCTCAAACCTCTTTGCAAATATAGTATATATTAATCCTTTATAAAACGTCAAACATTGTAGGCAGCGCCTGTGGCTTAAAGGAGTAGGGCACTGGCCCCATATGCCAGAGGTGGCAGGTTCAAACCCAGTCCTGGCCAAAAAACTCCAAAAAAAAAAAGTCAAACCTTGCAATGTAAGAAGTATTTCCCATCTGAGAGGAGATAATAGCCCCAATACTCTTCACTAATAAGACCAGGTCTAGAATATGTACTCAATTTTGGCCATTATATATTATGGGAGGTGCCAATAAAATGAAGGAAACTTTAAGGTGGCAAACTCATGGTCTGGAACCATGTCCTTTAAGGAATGGTAAGAGAAAGAATGTCTCGTTCAGAACAAAAGGACATGAG